ACAGCACCAAAATCCTGCTTACAACACGATGAAATGAAAGAATGGAATTGTAAAATTGACTTCAAAGTTTTTTGCCAATTTTCCACCATCACTGAAAAGGACTGAGATACGACACAGACAGCTTAAAAATCTTTCTGATTTGAGAGCTACACCTGGGATCTTGCAGGTCTTCCTGCACTACGTTCAGTAAGCTGATCTGTACCAAAAATCAACTTCATCATTAGCAGGCTCCACCATGTTCAAACTTCAGTTATTATTTCACTTAACTGAAAAGTTTGCTTTCCACTTTCTTAGTCCTGTTATAAAGCCACGGTATTAGAAATATTAGAAACAGTAATAAAAAACATTAACTTTGAAGGACAGTTTTTCTTAAGGCAAGAGTTGCACTTATTTTCAGAAACGTTTCTAAATTTCAGTGCCTATGCAATCAGTCTGCAAGCACATTAACACGGTGCTGGAGGAAACATTCAGCTTCACAATGAAAAGACATCCAGCAAACTAATTGTTATAAAGAAAAAAACCCAACTACATGTACTTAAATATAAGCTTTACTTACAAACAGAAATACTGACTACTCAATCATGTTTTTGTTGTTTTGTTTCACCCTAAGTCCTAGAAATTTTTCATTACATAAATTTTTATTGAGAGTAACTGCTACATTTAAAAGGGCGAAGAATTCAGAGTTCCCAACCATAAAGAGAATTTACCTTGGCTTAGGTGACAATACATAGGTTTAACTGCATGTGTCACTACGATTTGAGTTCATCAATATCTTAGGCAAGATTTTATTAAACAGTCTTTCACATAGATTATTTAATACTCTGTGGCATTTTATCCATTAGTTTTCAGTGTCTCTCAACCCTCCCATGATGAACTAACACACATCCAGGATAGTTCTCCTTCTCAATCACTTCCACTGCTGAGTTTCAAGTCTTATCAATTATATTAAAGTGTAACAACAAAGTAATAATACACTAAACTTTATGGTCCTTTAATTCCTTTCATACAAAATCCTAATCAATTGATGGTACCTTAAATTAGCAGCAAATTAAACTGGCCCAGAGCGATCTTTAGTGTTTAAGTCAGAAACGGAAGTTATTAACAACATCCATTCCAAACACGATTCCTCAGTACTCTGTCCAGTTAACCTCTTTTGAAATGTTTTATGACATCTCTTTCAGTCAGTCCCTTACTTCCTCCTTCCCACTTTCTCTAGTTTTACTAAAATATTTCCAGTTTTATTCATGTCCAACTATGAAATATCTACACTTCCTTCTTTGATAAGATCTGCTATCTCAGCAATACGAGTAGGTTTCTCAAGGGGAAGTTGGGCTAGAGTATGTCATATTCCATTCCGCTAGCTTTTTATTGCCTTATTCCTAAAACTGTACCTCAGTAGAAATCAGAGCTATAGAACAATGAAATGCTACAAATGCCTCAGTGATTGCAGTCTTCTGCTTGAAAGTATTACATCTTTTGTATTTTCCATTCCTGTGACAGCACTACCAACACGATCCATTTACTGAAAGCTATTTGCCAATATCTGTGCTTGTGCCGCCTTCTTTTTTCATTACTCTTTTTTGGTCCTGTCAAGAAGAAGTTATCTGCTACCACAACTTTAATGCAGGAAACTATTTTACCACTATACTTCTCCCTATAATACACCTTTTCTTCACTGTGTAAAAAATTCAGTACCTCGTTCAGTACCATTCCTCTAATTTAAAACGTGAGCAAAACCACAAGGAACACAACACAAGCCCTGGAAGACACGGGCCGTTCTGACATTTCACCAGGCAATCCAGAAATCGGGTTCTACCCATTCTGGAGCAAGACACCGGCTCTTCTCCGTTTCAAACCACAACCTCGGGAACTGACCTGCTGCCAACACAACAGCCGAAGACACAAATCCCGGCCCCGAGTCACGTAACCCGCTGGGCTAAGAGCAGGGGTCCAGCCCCACCACGCTGCCGGGCGGGATGCGGAAAGACGGCCGCACCCCTCCCTCCCTCTCCCCGCTACCTCTGCTACCCAAGCCCCCTCTCTCTCCGCTTGCCGGCCTTCGCACCAGGGTTTCAGC